TTGAAGGTCACCAAACTCTGTCCCACTTCCCAGCTATGACATTTGTCATCCCTCCACCTCGAATGCCCTTCCTGGCATCTCAGATCTCAGCTCAAACGTTTAAGTACTCAGATCTTTCCCACCTTAAGTGTCCTCCCTCGGTCCCTGTTTGTCACATCATCCTGCCTACCTCCTGCCATGCATGTATCATAGTCTGAAATTATCTTGCATCCATGTTTATTGGAATGAAGACTTGGTGAGAGTGGGGACTTGCCTGTCTTCCTGAGAGGTGTCTTCAGACCTGGCAGAGTGCCTTGCATGTGGCAGAGTGCCTTGCATGTAGGGGATGGATGTTCCCTGCTGTTCCTGAGATGTGGAATGCCGGAGGAGAGACAGGTTTGCAAGAGGATGAGTAGTTCCTTTTGGCTAGCCAGCGGGAAAGCTTATTGCATTCCTCAGGCATTTGGGTAGTCCTCATGCAGTGCTACTCAGACTGTGGTCCTCGGTCTGACGACATCAGTGACAGCATCACCTGGGAGCTTGTTAAAATTCAGACTCCCAGGCCCTATCCCCAATTCACAGAGTCAACATCTCTGGGGGTAGGGCCCTGGAATCTGTGTTATATAGCAGACCCTCCTGGGAATCCTTATACAGACTGTAAGTTTGAGAGGCTCTGTTCTAGTTTTGTTTTCCGAGTCTGGACCGGCCCACAGAGCAAGAACCAGATTTACTTCAGGAGGTCTCTCCATCGGCCTTTCGGGAGCCCTGTCAAGACTCCGTGTGTCAACTGGCAGCTCGCCGTCTGCTGCTTCTTTGTCTTGACTCTTCACAGTTGCCTCCACTTGACAAATGCGAAGTTTTGACAGTTCTTAGTACCTGCACGCTTTGATAGACTTTTTTTTTTTTTGATGTATGTTACTTGGACAATAAGGGCATAAGAAAAGAAAACGTTTTAGTTTTAGTTTTCACTTCTGCTGAGCTCTACTTGTCACTAAATTCTGAAACACTCAGGCGGCCAATGAGAGCCAGAGCGATACAGGGAAGGTGGTGCTTTTGGCGGACGTGCGTGATCAGTACGCACAGGTGCCTTACATCCGAGGCCCTAACACAGTCAAGCTCTAGGGTACAAGACAAGGGGATCTGGAGTAGGTTAAGGAAGCCTCTGGAGGCAAATGGATTTGAATTGGTGGTTTTCCCTGACAGCAATTACTTTGGGGCCAAGTGAAAACTCAACTAAGCTTTTTTGTTTTTGTAATGTCAAAACACCTTTGTGAAACAGACTTCCCTGAGACCAGGCCCACTGTCTTGTTCTGTTAGATCCTCTCTTCCTAGCTCCAGCTGTTGCGGATATTTTGGTGATGTCACTGCTGTATCCAGCGAAGAGACAGATCTGGGGGCACATATGCTTTTGGTGTTCATGGTCACCAGGCTGCTTTTGTCAGTGGTACTGACCAATGGCCGGGGCTAAATCAGCCAGAAAATGGGGTGGGGTGGGGTAATTCAACCCTCCCTTGGTGGCAGGAGGCACTGGTTAAAGAAGAGCAGACAGAACATTCCCCAAATCAGCCACTTCCTCGCATTTCAGGAAGCCCTGGCTTGTAGAGCATCTCCTGCTGGGGCACAGAAAACTGGGAGTCTCCATGGCTGCCTTTCCAGCAGGGTCCACACACCAAGTCTGAGGTTGCCAGCATATCAGTCTCCCAAAATCCTGAGGTGTTTACCTTCCACGGGTGGAACTAGGTTAATGTCAAACATTTTAGCACAGGAAGCTCTCTGAAAGGGTGACCCCTTCCTCCCAAGTAATCAGAGTGAAAGACAATCAAGAAGTTTCCAATTCACCCATTCACTCATTCTTTGGCTGGAACTGAGCCAGGTGAGACAATGAGATGCAAAGCTGAATAAGGAATGGCCTTAGCCATTGAGGAGCTGGGAGTCTACAGGGGGGACAGATATAAAAAGAAATAATTTGAGGGCAATCTAAAGAATGCTCTAGGAGTTCCCTGGTGATCCAGTGGTTAGGACCTGGCGTTTTCACTGCTGTGGCCCGGGTTCAATCCCTGGTCGTGAAACTAAGATCCCACAAGCCGTGTGGTGCAGCCAAATAAATAAATAAATAAAATTTAAAAAATAAAGAATGCTCTAGTATACGTTCTCCACTATAGGAGACACTAATCTTGCCAGCAGAAGTGGAGGAAGGCTTCTCAGGTGAAGCTCTTTCTCAGGTGAAAAGAGGAGAGACCAAGGGAACAGGACAAACGACAAGAATAAATATTCCTATAGTACTAAGTATAGACCCAGCACTTTTAATGTATGAACTCACTTAAATCCTCATAACACACCTCTGAGATGAGCACAGTTGTTGTGTCCATTTTACAGATGAGGAAACTGCGGCTCAGTGAGGCTGAGGGCCTGTCCTAGGTCACATAGCTTGTAAAGGGCAGACTGGCTCCAGAATCCAGACTGTTAACCATTGTTCAACTTGGTCTCTTGGCATATGCGAGTGTGATCTCCCTGGAGAATTTTGAGTGGCTTGAGTGGAGAATGGTGGTTCTAAGGGTTTTGTTTGTTTGTTTGTTTTTTCCTTCTGTAGCCCACTTAGGAAGACAAACCAATTTACCCCACCCATTCCCACTTTCCAGTGAGGGGTGGGGGGAATCTCTGTAATAAAGCTTTGGAGAATGTAGTAGTTTGTTAGGGCTGCCATAACAGATTCCACAGACCGGGTGTCCTAAACAACAGAAATGTATTTTGCCACAATTCTAGAGGCTAGAAGTACAAGATCAAGGTATCAGCAGGGTTAGTTTCTTCTAATGCCCTCTCCTTGGCTTGTTGATGGCTGTCTTCCTCAGGTGTCTTTACACTATCTTTCTGTGCTTGACTGTGTCCTAATCTCTTTTTATAAGCACACCAGTCATATTGGATTAGAGCCCATCCCAATGACCTCATTTAACGTTAATTTCCTCTTTAAAAACCCTATTTCCAAAATAGTCACATTCTGCAGTAGTGGGGCTTAAGACTTCAACGTATGAATTTGGGGGCGGGGACACAATTCAGCCCACAGGAGAGCCACCAACATACACAGATTGCACCGTGAGTTTTCACACATGATTTTATATTATTAAACAATGCCCTGTAAATTTTTAAGTATTTTTTACACTTTCCTGAGTAGTCCTTGCAAACTATTTTTTAAATTAATTAATTTATTTATTTTTACATCTTTATTGGAGTATAATTGCTTTACAATGGTGTGTTAGTTTCTGCTGCTTGCAAACTATAACACGTTTACGGGCAACATGTTAGCAATGCTGTGCAACTGTTTAAGCACATTGGGGTGAGAGGGTGGCTCCTGTCTGCAGTCACTTTAGCAGTACAGTTAAAGACCCAAACTGGCGTCTTTAATGAACGGAAAGCTGCAGGTCAAGAGCTATAAATATGCCTCTCTATGCACCCTAAGAGTGACCAAAGAAATCTCCACCAACGACTTGTAATTCAAAAGGAAGAATAACACCAGTGAAAACTATGGCCACCTGGATACCACCCTGATGATGCGTTGCTAACAAAAGGTCCAACCAGAAGTGTAGGAATTCCAGCCACCAGAACTTGCTCCTGTACATCCAGCTCCTGTACATCTTGCTTCATGGTGCTGAATGGTTGCCTGACTTCTCAGTAGAATGGCAGATCAGAACCATTAATGAATTCTAATTTACTATTACTAAATGTTAGTAATTTTTAGTGACTCATTTTATAGGTTCATAATAAATAGCCCTTAATCCCATGTAAAATGAGAGTCTATGGACTTGTGTATCTTTTGCTTGTAAGAGCTATCGAAAGGAAACCAGTAGTCTGAATTGTGTGTCCACAATGTTAGAGACATAGTCCATTCTCTTACTTCCATAAATCATATTTAATTTAAGGTTCCAAGCCATGCATGACCTGGTTTTTAGTCATCATGAGAGCTCCCTTTCTTTCACTTCCTCACCCTAACTAATGAGATCAAATGAGATTCAGATAGAGGGGATGCCAGGGAGCCAGAGAACCTAGCACTTACTCTATGTTGACTGGCTTCAAGGCCATTATTCCAGTCCTTGCTGGGAAGAACTTGTCGCATGCCCTTCTTCTGGCAGAATTGGTGATGCATCCTCACAGTGGTCCATTCCCATAACCACCGACCTGCCCACAGGGATGCTCAGCCATGATGTCCAGCCTCTGGCAAACATCCAGTAACCACCAAATGCCATCTAGGTAACCCAAATCAAAAATCCTCTCCTGTGCCTTACATGCTTTGCTCTTCACTTTAGGGAGTTTCAACATGCCTTTCTCTTGAGCTGTTTTTGTTTCCCTTCTCAAAGCACTAATCAATCACTCCCTCCTAACCACTGACCCAAAACATGAAAACTTTTCATTTTACTCCATGATTATATTGGGACACCGACACAGGTGGGGTGCATAATTTTAGTACCATTAAGAGACAACTGCTGAGGATGGTTGAGAGTCATTAAAAATGAGGTTTTAAGAAGAGGAGTGACATAGATTAATCTTTTAAAAAGAGCACGTTAAGATGGACTGGATATTACGGTGATCTTAGGAAATGTTATAATGGAACTGTAGTTGCATAGAAAAATGTCCTTATTTTTTAGAGACTCGTACTAAAATATTTATGGGTGCCATGACATGATGTTTGTTATTTACTTTAAAATGCTTTGGTGGAAAGAATATATGGGAAAATATGGCAAAATGTTTATAGTTGTGAAATCCAGATGAGATTACACAGGCATGCATCATATAGTTTCCTCTGTTTTTCTGTATGTTTTCAAATTTTTTAATAATAGAAAAGTGGAAATCAATCCTTTTGGCGGCTCTCTGGGCCTTAGGCAAGAGAGGCAAGTAGGGGGCCAAGTAGTGAGACGTGATTCAGGTGGACGCTGATGAGGGGTGGAGCTAAGATGGAGACACTGCGGAGGGAGAGGAGGGTGTGGACTGAAAGGTATCATCTAGTCTGTTCTCTTCGCTCGTTCCCACAGTCCAAAGTGCTTCGGGAAAAATGGCTGCTGCAGGGTGTACCTGCTGGAACTGCGGAAGAGGAGGAAGCCAGGCGGCGGCAGTCTGAGGAGGATGAGTTAAGAGTCAAACAACTTGAAGGTAACATTCAGAGGTAGGTGGTTTCCAGCCCAGGCCCCCAAGCTGTGACTTTACAGTGCAGTATCCACCTCTCTCCTCTAGGGGGCGTTTCTCAGTGCCGTCACCTTTTCCCAGGGCTTTAGAATTATCTTCCTAAACAGAGTAGGTACGTTGTTGCCACTGAAACTTTTCCATGTAACCCAGAATTTTGACTCTGAGTACTAAGTATTGTATTGGGATTCGCACAGTACAGTGATGTCTTCTTGGACCAACTAGGTGTGGTAAGCAGCTTGCCCCTTCACTAAATGTCCCATTTTTGAGTTCTTCTGTCAGCTTTTGTCTTTTTCCTTCTTGAGCTCAGGCTGTTAGCTGTTAGTGGGTCTGTTGTCAAATTTGCTACATTTGATCAATTTGAAATGGGAAAACTGTAGCCAAGGGTCTTGGAATTGAAACTGAGGGCACCCCTGTGAGCTGTGTGCCTGGGCTCTAAAAAAGTAACTTTGTATTGTCTAGTTGCAATGCTCAGAGGGTGAGTTGCTTCCTTTATGGTCCTCAACCAGGTTCTGAACATTCCAGTCTGGGAGATAAGTGACCTTTCTATGGCCAGTGGCTGGCCAGGCTCAGACAGAAGCAAAATAAATGTAGGTTTCCACCTGGGAACTGTAGTCACACCAGGTCCCAGGGCACCCAGCCAGAGATGTGAGATGGTGGGGGAAGATGGTGTGTGGAGATGCCTTAGAACAAAATCTCCCCCACCACCTTATCCCACCAAATTCTGCTGGAAATATCACCTTGGAGAGGGTCATCTCTTTCTCCTGAGGTTTTGAGCTCTTTTAAAATACAAAGAGTAATAGCTAACTTGCTACCAGTCATCTGTACCCAAGAGTGAATGAAGCTGGTGAGGGTACCTAGGGGACCCCAGTAGCATCACCAAAGGGAAAAGCAGACCGACTATAAGCCCCAAAGCCCTGTGTCCCTACTTTGCTTGAGCCCTTATGCCCCTCAAAGAGTTCTCAGAGCAGCTTGCCCAAGCTTTGCTTGTGGGGGAAACTGGCTAAGAAAAAGTTTATATGGGGTGTGCATGTGTGCATGTGTGTGTGTGTGTGTGTGTACGTGTACATATACATACATACACGTACACACACACTTTTTCTTAAAATACAAAGGATCAAGGCTAAATAATATATATATACATATATATATAACATTGGAAAGGCTAAATTATATATTAGTGTGTGTGTGTATGTGTGTATATATATATATATATATATATATATATATACCATTAGAAGAAGAAATTTTAATCCTGTAAATACTGACATCAAGCTTGTGAGGACAAGTACCTCCAGAACCCCAGGAAAAGAAGGGACTTCGTGTTAGAAGCCCAGAAGATAGAAAGGGGAGGGGGTGGAATGAAATAGCTCAGAGTCCTGAGCCTTGGGGATTCCCTCTCCTCAGAAGTGGCTCGACTTGCTGCATCTTAGACAAGATGAGGGAGCCAAGGATAATGGGAAATATTGACAGTAAATTGGAGAGGAAAAGGTAGCTCTGAGACATGGTTTTGTAGGAGGTTTGTTTTTAAGTCTCAAAGTGGCAAGTCCATGGTACTTTTAGCTTCAGTGACAGTTGATACCGTATAGCATCTCTTTATCTTTAGTCTTGTTAAACGTTCCAGTCCATTTCCTCTCTCTTTCTTACTACACTACACTCCAGATGGGTCTGGCACCAAGCAGGTGCTCCATAGCTGTTTGTTGAATGAAAGGATTGGGGCTGGGACCCCTGCCTGGCAGAGGGAGGCTGGGGAATTACTCTCCAGTCCAAGTTGGCAAAATTCTAGGAACCAAGTGGCCTGGGCACTGTCTATTCACAGCAGGAACCATGATTCAGGTTCACATGGGGCAGCATTATACTGCTGAGGAGTTCTAGGCAGGATGAAGAAACAGGGATGAGAATTGCAGGCCCCCTCTGGTATGGAGGGACACAGTATGCACATGGATGGGCAGAAAATTTTATTTAAAATTGTTTTTTTAAAACCTGGATATCTTTTCTCACTGAGCCTGACCTGTGCATTCATTTCATGTAGTAGGTATTATTACAGATGGAAGGCAGACAGGATTTGGAAAGTAGGATAAAACTAGTTCTATGACCTTTTCTGGTTTTCTTAAATGGCATCAGAAAACGTGGTCTTCAACCACATTGGCAGTTTCACTTTGGCTTGAATACAAATATATTGTTGTTCTAGCCCCATAGGTGGTAACTCTCACCTGTGATGAGCCATTACACGTGGGAGAGGAGTCTTAAATCAAGACTCAGTTTTGGCTAAATTAATCATTGGAGCGAGATATAAGAGTTAGGAGCTGGATTGTGGTTCAGGTGGGCATGACCATACTCCGAAAAATAAAGAGAATCTCTTTTTATCCTTTGAGTCAACAGAAGAAAGCTCATTCAATGCATGCAGGCAATCTCTTGGAGGCCATTTAAGAGAGAGATTCCCAAGCCAGAAGGAAAGAAATCATAACAGCCTAAAATGGTGGGGGTGGGATGCTTAGGCCTGGATTCAGGGGGCATTTCCTTCTGCCATAACCACGGCTTTGCTGGACATCGGCCAAATGGGCGTTGGCCATTTGTTGGAGAATGAGCTGTGTTCCCTGGAGCTGCTTTTCTGTAGCAGCAGGGCTGCCAATGGGCATCATTTCCTCCCTAGGGCCTCTTGAGGGAGGAGTTTCTTCCTCCCTTAGATGTTAGTTTCTGCTTCCCTTCATCTTACTCGAAACTTCTCTTCTACAGTATTTAGCATCTTTAAGCTTCAGTCCCAAGGGAAGAAAGGAGCTCTCCCCGCTCCTTCCTTAAAGGATACTCAGCCACCTAAGACACTTTTCTGAAGTCAAGCATTGGTTCTCTCTCATACTCTTAGTCACTTGAACTGCTTTAAAGGTTCATTGTAAACATAAGCATCCTCCAGTCTTACAAGGTCTTTGTGGATTGGCTGGCCTGGCTCTGCTAATTTTGGCCGAGCTTGGCTAAGAGACTCTAAGCTGTAGGTTGGATGAGCCTGCTCTCATTTTCCCTGCACTAATGAACTAATCGTGCCAATTTCCTTTTACGGCAATGGCAGAGGTGCAAGGGGGCTGAACAGGCACAAGGCGTAGGCTCAGAACTGCCCGTGAGCCATTAGCCAAAGCAAGTCAATGGCTAATCTCAAAACCCAGGGGAGGAGGTAGACAGTCAACCTTTTAGAGAAAGGAACTCAGAATTATGGGGCAAAGGGTACAGATACAGGAAAGGGTGAAAATGGGTACTAATCCTTCAATCTTCCAGAAGCATGATTGTTCAATTAAAAACTGCAAGCATTAGGGAAGACTGACCAGCAGGAGGGAAAGTACAGAAGAGCCCAATGAGTGAGAAAGAGGATGAACTAAAACAACTCAAGAATTCGGAGGAAAAGGAAGAAAAGAATAAAGGAAAATATGAGTGGCTTTGAAATTAGATCTGATCTTTATGTAATAGGAATCCTGGAAACTGCAGGTCAAGTGCAGCAGAACCACTAAAGTAAGGATTCTAAAGGAAAATTTCTTCATTTGAATTGGAACATTAATTTGTAGATCTTAAGATTTGGGTTCACCTGTCTAAGTCCTCCCCCAGCAACAAATTAGATTTTCCTGAAGAGACATATGAACTCTTTTCAAGCTATATTTGTATATAATATAAATGTACTAAACTATATTAGTACATTTAGGCCCTGAAGGTATATTAGTCCCTTTTGGTGAATCAGGAGTAGCTTGAAGAACCTGCTGGAGCAGCAGAGAATAGCAATCCAAGAGCAGGGAGAATGCCTGCAAGGAAAGATTAAGGGAAATCAGGGTCAGTTAGTTTAGAACAAGAGAAGATTAATGATAGCAACCTAACTCAGAACTTCAAGTGTATGTAGGATTTAGGCCACCTCTGAATTCTTTATGTGTTGGCCATTCTGAATATGATAAAGACTTAAAATAAAGCACGAGAATTTGCGCTTAGACATATGTCTGTTTCCCTAGATATCTTCAAGAAGAAAGAACATAACCACCTTTCTAATTCTGATTCCAAAATTCTTTAGGGTGCCAGTAGCCATATAAGAAGTTCCAGGTTTACAGACATGTTTTCTTCCAAAATGTTATTTGTAAATTGGTGGTGATTTGGAACTGAGGATGTTGTTTGTTTTTAAAACTATTATATGTGGTGCTTAGGTTTTTAGGGCAGCCCACAAGGAGGACGGGAAGGAAGGGAGGGAGGGAGGGAGGAAGAAAGGAAGGAAGGAAGGGAGG